GCCACCTCGCCCGGCTAGTTTTTTGTATTTTTTTACTAGAGACGGGGTTTCACCGTGTTAACCAGGATGGTCTCGATCTCCTGACCTTGTGATCCGCCCGTCTCGGCCTCCCAAAGTGCTGGGATTACAGGCTTGAGCCACCGCGCCCGGCCGAGCCAAGGTTTTTCTACATTCATATAGTAGTGAGACCAATGGAAAAGAGAGAAAAATACAACATATGAAGCTGGATTTTGAAAGATCTTGAGATGGGATTGTCTGCTCTGCCTATAGATGGATCCTAAGCTAAGAGCCTGAAAGACTAAGATATACTCCCTGTGTAGGACGGGGGATCCCAGTGAAGACCTGTCAACTGTTCTTACAGTTCTGCTGAGTAACAGTCTCAGAAGATCCAACCCCCTCCCCAGGTCCACACACCCATGAACTGTAGCAAAAGCAGAAGAGAAGAAATGGCTGAGGGATCACAACAGGCACAAAGGGCTTGAGACAGCTCCTTGCAGCTCCCGGGGCCTCAGATGCAAAGGAGGAGCAGCCAGTGTTTCCCATCTCCTGCGCAGGTCTTCCAAACACCGGAAATGAGGTGGAGCATAGACAGTTCCAAGCATCAGGACTGTGGAGGCCTCAGCTCTGATCTATATGGAAAGCGAACTGAGCATCAGGTGGGCATCAAGAACAGGAGAGACTGGCAGGGCACAGCAGCTCAAGCCTGTAATCTCAGCACTCCGGGAGGCCGAGGTGCGTGGATCACCTGAGGTTGGGAGTTTGAGACCAGCCTGACCAACATGGTGAAACCCCGTCTCTACTAAAAATACAAAATCAGCCAGGTGTGGTGGTGCACACCTATAATCCCAGCTACCCGGGAGGCTGAGGCAGGAGAATCATTTGAATCCGGGAGGCGGTGGTTGCGGTGAGCTGAGATTGCGCTATCACACTCCAGCGTGGGCAACAAGAGCGAAACTCCGTCTCAAAAAAACAAAGAACAGGAGAGACCAAGGGAGAAGCAGACCCTTGTGATATGGCCCCTCCTGGACCCCTCAGAGTAAAGGAGCCAGAGAGTTCACGGAAGTCAGAGGGCAATGTTGTCCATCATAATAAGTACTTCCACTTGTCTCTGTTTGAGCTGCAGCCCCCACTGGACAGCGAAAGGATCATCCATGACACGTCTCAAGGGCAGAGGCAGAAGTAGGGGAAGTTTAAAATTTCCTCTAAGAGCTCACAGGATATAAACATTTGTTTTCCTATAGAACTCTCCCACTGGCTGAGAGTTTCCAAACATAATTTAATGGTGTGGCTTCTTCTCCCCCCATCTGAGGTCTTACCTATTTTCACACCTTTGATCCATCTCCCACCCTTTTGGTTTTCTTGCTATTTGCACTTGGCTTTCCATGGTCCAGGGCTCTTTCCTGTGCTCCCACATGAGATAATATTCTGGTCAAGAAGAGAATTTCCTGCTTATGAAATGAATGGAACATGATGTGCTGTGGCTTTTCAAGAATCTCAGCCCTTTGCTTGGATAAGAAGAGAGAATATCACAGATGGATCTAGGAAAATATTTCACAAATTCTTTCACTGAATGCCTACTCTGAATGCTTAGGGAAGACTGTAATATGCAAATATCTAGCTCCCCTCCAAGAACTACTGAATCAAAGTACAGGGGTAGAAAACAAGAAGTGAGTATTTCAGAAGTCTACTATAAGCTTTCATGGGTACTTCAGCTCTGGAACCACCACTGTTGTATCAGGAAGGGGTCAGAACATCTGGAAAAAGGGGATGGTTGAACTCCAGAGTCCACATTATGGAGCTTTTCATTTCAGAGTCAACAAGGCCTCAAACTCAGTCAGGCAATGCAGGGGCTCCCAAGAGGCACACAAGGGAAAATGGCAAGATACCAAGGGCAGATTTTGACTTCTGGAAGAAAATAATCCTCACCCAGGGAGACCAGGTTCCTGTAGTTCTCCAACATCACGTCCCTGTATAAAGTCCTCTGTGTAGAATTCAGGCATTTCCACTCCTCTTGAGAGAATTCGATGGCCACGTCCCTGAATGTCAACTGTCCCTAAAATAATAAACACATTTCACCAAGGGGTTATGAAGGGAGTTACCATCTTCACACAAAATAAGAATAAAAGAGAATTTTAAGTATAGATTTAATTGAAGTGTGTGTTCTGGTTCTGATAAACTCACACTAAGGCATTTTTGAGTATACATCTCTCCCTAATTGTGCTTTTTTTTTTCTCTCTCTCTCTTTTTCTTTTTTTTTTTTTGTTTGAGACAAGGTCTCGCTCTGCTGCCCAGGCTGAAGTGCAGTGGCATGATCATGGCTAACTGCAGACTCAATCTCCCAGGTTCAAGTGACCCTCCGACCTTAGCTTTCCAAGTAGCTGGACTATAGGCATGTGTGTACAAAGTACATTTGAAAACTTCCTGGCCGGGCGCGGTGGCTCAAGCCTGTAATCCCAGCACTTTGGGAGGCCGAGACGGGCGGATCACGAGGTCAGGAGATCGAGACCATCCTGGCTGACACGGTGAAACCCCGTCTCTACTAAAAAATACAAAAAACTAGCCGGGCGAGGTGGCGGGCGCCTGTAGTCCCAGCTACTCGGGAGGCTGAGGCAGGAGAATGGCGTGAACCCGGGAGGCGGAGCTTGCAGTGAGCTGAGATCCGGCCACTGCACTCCAGCCTGGGCAACAGAGCGAGACTCCCGTCTCAAAAAAAAAAAAAAAGAAAAAGAAAACTTCCATGATGAACTAGGGATCAAGCAGAAGAAAACAACTCAGAACTTGAAGACAGGTCTTTTGAAATAAACGAGTCAGACAAAAATAAAGACAAAAATAAAAAAGAATGAACACAGCCTATGCGACATATGGGGCAGGCACCATAAGGTGACCAAATATTTGAATTTTTGGTGTCCCAGAAGGTGGAGAGAAAATGAAAAGGAAAGAAACCTATCTAACAAAATAATAACCAAAAACTTCCTAAGTGTAGTAAAAAGTTTAGATACCTAGATACAGGAAGTTCATAGATTCTCAAAGAGAGACAATCCAAAAATGTCTTCTCCTTGGCACATTATAGTCAAACTGTCAAAAGAAAAAGAAAGAGAATTCTAAAAAAAAAAAAAAAAAAGCAAGAGAAAAGCATCTGGTCACTTACACAGGGTGCTCCATAAAACAGGAAATTTCTCAATAGAAATCTTACAGGCCAACAACGAATGGTATGATATATTCAATGTGCTGAAAATAATAATAAAAAAAACCCTGCCAGCCAAGGATACTATACTCAGCAAAATTATCCTTCGTAAAAAGGAGAAATAGTCTTTCCCAGAGGAGCAAAGGCTTAGGGAATGCTTCACCAGTAGACTGGCCCTACAAGAAAGGCTTAAGGGATCCCTACATCTAGAAGCAAAAGGACAATATTGGCCATCATGAAAACACAATACTATAAAACCCACTGTCAGAGCTAACGTGCAAGTAAGGAAAGGAGTCAAATGTAAATGTTACCACTATAGAAAACCACCAAACCACAATGAAAAACAGTTAGACAAAGAAAGGAGCAAAGAACATACAAAACAACCAGAAATCAATGAACAAAGTGACAGTAACAAGCCCTTGCATGTCAATAATGAACTTAACGTAAATGGTTTAAACTTTCCACATAAAAGATATAGACTGGCTAAACTGATACAAGCATATAACCCAACTATGTGCTACCTTTAAGAAACTCATCTCAACTGTAAAGACACAAATAGACTCAAAGTGAAAATATGAAAAAAGGTATTATATGCAAATGAAACCAAAAGCAAGCAGGAGTACCTCTACTTAACAAAACGAACTTTAAGTTAAAAACAGTAAAAGAGATGAAAAAGGTCATTATATACTAATAAAGAGATCAATAAGAGGAATATAACAATTCTAAACATATATGCACCCAACACTGGAGCATCCAGACATATAAGGCAAATATTATTAAAGGGAGAGATATACTCCAAAACTAATAATAGGGATTTTAGCATTAGACGGCTGATTTAGACAGAAAATTAACAAACAAACACTGAATTTAAACTGCACTTTAGACTAGCCAGACCTAAGAGATATTTACAGAACATTTCATCCAACAAGTACAGAATATATATTCTTTGCATCAGCATATAGAACATTCTCCAAGACAGACTATATATTAGAACGCAAAACAAGTCTCAACATATTTTTAAAATATCAAAATTTTTTTTTTTTTTTTGAGACGGAGTCTGGCTCTGTCACCCAGGCTGGTGTGCAGTGGCGCGATCTCGGCTCACTGCAAGCTCCGCCTCCTGGGTTCCCGCCATTTTCCTGCCTCAGCCTCCCGAGTAACTGGGACTACAGGCGCCCGCCACCGCGCCCGGCTAATTTATTTGTATTTTTAGTAGAGACGGGGTTTCACCATGTTCGCCAGGATGGTCTTGATCTCCTGACCTCGTGATCCGCCCGCCTCGGCCTCCTAAAGTGCTGGGATTACAGGCGTGAGCCACCGTGCCCGGCCTAAAATATCAAAATCTTAATAAGTATCTTCTTAGAACAACAACGGAATAAAATTAGAAATCAATACCATGAGAAACTTTGAAAACTGTACAAATACATGGAAATTAGACAGCATGCTCCTAAATGACCATTGGATCTAGGAAGAAATTAAGGGGGAAATTAAAAAAAAAACTTGAAACAAGTAAAAATGAAAACACAATATGTCAAAACCTATGGAATACAGCAAAAGCAATGCTAAGAGGGAAGTTTATAGTAATAAACACCTACATGAAAAAAGTAGAAAAATTTCAAACAGGCCAGGCACGGTGGCTCACTCCTGTAAACCCAGCACTTTGGGAGGCCAAGGTGGGCGGATCACCTGAGGTCAGGAGTTCAAGACCACCCTGGCCAAGATGGTAAAACCCCGTCTCTACTAAAAATACAAAAATTAGGCTGGGTGCAGTGGCTCATGCCTATAATCCCAGCACTTTAGGAGGTCAAGGCTGGCGGATCACGAGGTCAGAAGATCGAGCTCATCCTGGCTAACATGGTGAAACCCCATCTCTACTAAAAAATAGAAAAAATTAGCTGGGCGTGGTGGCAGGTGCCTCTAGTCCCAGATACTCGGAAGGTTGAGGCAGGAGAATGGCGTGAACCTGGGAGGTGGAGCTTGCAGTGAGCCGAGATCATGCCACTGCACTCCAGCCTGGGCTACAGAGCAAGACTCCGTTTCAAAAAAAAAAAAAAGAAACACCTAGATGGCAAACCCACAGCTAAAATCACGCTGAATGGAAAAAAGCTGAATGCTTTTCCTCTAAGAACTGGAATAACTCAGAGATGCCCACTGTTACCACTTCTATTTCACACAGTTCTGGAAGTTGTAGTCACAGCAATCAGGCAAGAAAAAGAGATAAAGGACATCGAATTGAAAAAGAACAAGTCAAACTGTCCTATTTTACAGATGATATTAATCTAAAAAAACCTCAAAGGCCCACCAAAAAATACTTAGTTCTGATAAATTCAGTGAGGTTGTAAGTTACAAAATCAGTATACAAGTATCAGTAGTGTTTCTATACACCAAAAATAACTACCTGAAAAAGGAATCATGAGGGCAAAATCAAAGGAATCACAAAGGCAAAATCAATTTATAAGAGTTACAAAGAATTAAAATACCTAGGAATGGCAGGCTGGGCACGGTGTCTCACACCTATAATCCCAGCACTTTGGGAGGCAGAGGCAGGTGCATCACCTGAGGTCAGGAGTTCGAGACCAGCCTGGCCAACATGGTGAAACCCTGTCTCCACTAAAAATACAAAAGATAAGCCCAGTGTGGGGGCAGGCACCTGTCCCCCAGCTACTTGGGAGGCTGAGGCATGAGAATCGCTTGAACCCAGGAGGCGGAGGTTGCAGTGAGCCAAGACCAACCTGTGCAACAGAGCAAGACTCAGTCTCAAAATATATATATATTAATTCTTTCAATTTGTGAGCATGAAATGTCTTTCCATTTGTTTGTGTCCCCTTGAATTTTTTTCATCAGTATTTTGTAGGGTTGTTTTTTTTTTTTTTTTTTTTTTGAGACGCAGTCTCTCTCAGTCACCTAGGCTGGAGTGCAGTGGTGTAATCTCAGCTCACTGCAACCTCTACCTCCCAGGTTCAAGGGATTCTACTGCCTCAGCCTCTCAAGCAGCTAGGATTACAGGCATACACCACACCTGACTAATTTTGTATTTTTTTTAGTAGAAATGGGGTTTCTCCATGTTGGTCAGGCTGGTCTTCAACTCCTGACCTCAGGGATCCACATGCCTCAGCCTCCCAAAGTGCTGGGATTATAGGTGTGAGCCACCGTGCCCAGCTGTAGGGTTCCTTTTGTAGACATCTTTTACCTCCTTGGTTAAATCCATTCCTAGGTTTTTCTTCTTCTTTTTTTTTTTTTTTTGAGACAGAGTCTTGCTCTGTCACCTAGGCTGGAGTGCAATGGTGTCATCTCGGCTCACTGCAACCTCCACCTCCCGGTTTCAAGCAATTCTCCTGCCTCAGCCTCCTGAGTAGCTGGGATTACAGGTGCCTGCCACCACACCTGGATAAGTTTTTGTATTTTTAATAGAGACGGGGTTTCACCATGTTGGCCAGGCTGGTCTCGAACTCCTGACCTCGTGATCTGCCCGCCTTGGCCTCCCAAAGTGAGAATTAATATTGTTAAAATGACCATAGTGCCCAAAGAATTTACAGATTCAATGCAATCTCTATTGAAATACCAATGTCATTTTATTAAAAACAGAAAAATGAATCCTAAAATTTGTATGGTATCAAAAAAGAGCCCAAAGAATCAAAGCAATCCTGAGTAAAGCTGAAGGCATCACTCTACCTGACTTCAAAATGTATTACAAGGCTATAGTAAACAAAAGAGCATGGTATTGGTATAAAAACAGCCACATAGACAAATGAAACAAAATTGTGAACCCAGAAATAAATACATGTACTTACAGCCAAATGATTTTTGACAAAGGCACCAAATACATACACTGGGGAAATGACATCCTCTTTAATAAATGGCGCTGGGAAAATTGGATATCCATGTGTAGAAGAATGAAATTGGATCCCTATATGGCACCATATACAAAAATCAACACAGATGCATTAACAACTTGAAAATAAGACCCCCAAAATATAAAACTACTATAAGAAAACAGGACAAACACTTCAGGACACTGGTCTAGACAAAGGTTTTATGGCTAAGACCTCAAAAGCATCAATGGCAAAAACAAAGATAGATAAATGGCACTATATTAAATTTAAAAGCTTTGCATAGAGTGAAGAGGCAACCTGTTGAACAGGAGGAAATATTTGTAAACTATTCATCTGACAAAGGACTAATATTCAGACCGTACAAGGAACTCAAACAGTTCAAAAGTAACAAAGAAATAATCCCATTAAAACTTGGGCAAAGGACAGAAGAGACCTTTCTCCAAAGAGGACATACAAATGGCCAACAGCTGTATATAAAAAATGCTCAACATCAGTAATCATCAAAGAATGAGAAAAGCACAGTATCATCTTATCCCGGCTATTACTAAAAAAGACTATTAAAAGACTATCACTAAAAAGACTATTACTGGCTATTACTAAAAAAGACAAAAAAAATAACAGATGCTGGTGAGGAATATGGACAATGGGTAACTCTTACACACTGCTGGTGGGAATGTAAATTAGTATAGCCATTACAGGCCAGGCGTGGTGGCTTACATCTGTAATCTCAGCACTTTGGGAGGTCAAGGCAGGCAGATACCTGAAGTGAGGAGTTCGAGACCAGCCTACTCAATATGACAAAACTCACCACCCCCTGTCTCTACTAAAAATACAAAAATTAGCTGGGTGTGGTGGTGGGCACCTGTAATCCCAGCTACTCAGGAGACTGAGGCAGGGAGAACTGCTTGAACCTGTGAGGCGGACAATGCAGTGAGCTGTGATCGTGCCACTGCACTCCAGCCTGGGCAACAGAATGAGACTCTGTCTCAAGAAAATTAAAATAAATAAATAAATAAATTAGTATAGCCATTATGAACAGTATGAAGACTTCTCAAAAACTAAAACTAGAACTACCACATAATCCAGCAATCCCATTACTGGGTATTTATCAAGGAAGAAGAAATCAGTATATCAAAGGGATACTGTACTCCCATGTTTACTGCAGCACTATTCACAATAGCAAAGATACAACATCAACCTAACTATCTATCAACAAGTGAATGGATAACGAAATGTGGTATATTCAGCCATAAAAAAGAATGTAGCAACATGAATGGAACTGCTGGTCATTATATTAAGTGACATAACAGAAAGGCAAATCTCACATGTTGACACTCACTGGTAGGAGCTAAAAAAAGTTGATTGCAACGCCGGGCGCGGTGGCTCAAGCCTGTAATCCCAGCACTTTGGGAGGCCGAGGCGGGTGGATCACGAGGTCAGGAGATCGAGACCATCCTGGCTAACATGGTGAAACTCCGTCTCTACTAAAAATACAAAAAACTAGCCGGCCGTGGTGGCGGGCGCCTGTAGTCCCAGCTACTCGGAGGCTGAGGCGGGAGAATGGCGTGAACCCGGGAGGCGGAGCTTGCAGTGAGCCGAGATTGCGCCACTGCACTCCAGCCTGGGCGACACAGCGAGACTCCGTCTCAAAAAAAAAAAAAAAAAAAGTTGATTGCATGGAGGTAGAAAGTAGAATGGTAGTTATCAGAGACTGTGAAGGGTGTGTGGGTGGGTGCGGGCAGGGAGGACAAAGAGAAGTTGGTTAATGAGTACAACTATAGTTAGAAGGAATAAGTTCTAATGTTCGACAGCATTGTAAGGTGACTACAGTTATCAACAATGTATCGTATATTTTCAAAACAGCTAGAAGAGAGGACTTGAAATATTCTCAACACTTAAAAATGATAAATAATCAAGGTAATAGACACCTCAAATACCATTACTTGATCATTACACATTCTATGACACATGCAACAAAATATCACATATGCCCCTTAAATATGAACCAATATGATGTATTGACTTGAAAAAGGAGCAAGCTATCCTTGTTCCTTAATATGAAAACATGTAAATATTCACAACTTGCAGGATAAAATACCCCAACAAAACATTTACTGAAAATTTTCTTCTAAAATCTCACAATGATTACACACATTTCAACAGGGCTTGAACTGTCTCTTCACACAGAACTGACAATAGTGGCTCACCATTGAGACGTGTGCGAGGGTGAATAGTGGCTCACCATTGAGACGTGTGCGAGGGTGAATAGTGGCTCACCATTGAGACGTGTGCGAGGGTGACTAGTGGCTCACCACTGAGACGTGTGCGAGGGTGTAAGGCTTGACAGGAAAAGGGATGCTCTGTATCTAAGCACCTAAATGTGTCTCTACTGAGAGTTTCACCATAAAACAAATATATACATCGTGTGATGTTTAAAATAAAAGCAGCATAACACTTAATAATAATAGATATCATAAGAATATGGCTATATCCTCTTCAATGAAAAAGGAGTTCTGCTCTGATATCTGAGCAAAACTGTTACCATTTTTGCCTAAAATATCTGATGCCTAAGAGACCCTGCAGGAATAGCACCATCTCCGTGGTATGCAAATGCTGAGAATGGTTTAAAAACTTGGCCGGGCGTGGTGGCTCACGCCTCTAATCCCAGCACTTTGGGAGGCCGAGGTGGATGGATCATGAGGTCAGGAGTTGGAGACCAGCCTGACCTACATGGTGAAACCCCGTCTCTACTAAAAATACAAAAATTAGCTGGATGTGGTAGCGTGCACCTGTAATCCCAGCTAGCCAGGAGGCTGAGGCAGGAGAATCGCTTGAACTCGGGAAGCAGAGGTTGCAGTAAGCTGAGATCGCGCCACTGCACTCCAGCCTGGGTGACAGCAAGACTCAAAAAAAAAAAAAAAAAAAGTCCTACTCCTACAGCTGGCCAGGCACGGTGGCTCACGCCTATAATCCCAGCACTTTGGGAGGCTGAGGCAGGTGGACCATACGGTCAGGAGTTCAAGACCAGTCTGGTGGCCAACATAGTGAAACTCCATCTCAACAAAAATTAGCCGGGCACAGTGGCAGGCGCCTGTAGTCTCAGCTACTTGGGAGGCTGAGGCAGAGGAATCACTTGAACCCGGGAGGTGGGGGTTGCAGTGAGCCAAGATCATGCCACTGCACTCCAGCCTGGGCAACAGTGTGAGACTCTGTCTCAAAAACAAACAAAAAAAAGTCCGACAGTTACACTTTTTGTTGTTGTTGTTAGACAGAGTCTCGCCCTGTCACCCACGCTGGAGTGCAGTGCAGTGGTGCGATCTCCTCTCACTGTAACCTCTGCCTCCCAGGTTCAAGTAATTCTCCTATCTCAGCCTCCTGAGTAGTGGGGATTACAGGCGTGTGCCACCACGCCTGGCTAATTTTTGTATTTTTAGTGAAGATGGGGTTTCACCATGCTTGCTGGTCTCAAACTCCTGACCTACAGTGATCCGCTCACCTCAGCCTCCAAAGTGTTGGGATTACAGGCCTGAGCCACTGTGTTGGGCCTTACAGTTACACTTCTACATTGACTTTATGTTTCAAAGTCATTAAAGGAAAAAACGCCCGCTGGTACTGATGTCTGCATCTCAACTTTACATTCCATTCCAAGTCATTAACAGTCTGGAGTCAGAGACATACTGATACACTAGTTTTATCTGGATTACAAAATCAGGCACAAAATATATCCCCTTATTGGCTGCCTTTTCCAGGATTTACCAGGTATTTGTTAATATGTGACTTTAGGCCAGGCATGGTGGCTCATGCCTGTAATCCCAGCACTTTGGGAGGCCGAGGCAGGTGGATCACCTGAGGTCGGGAGTTCGAGACCAGCCTGACCAACATAGAGAAACCCCATCTCTATTAAAAATACAAAATTAGCTGGGCATGGTGGCGCATGCCTGTAATCCCAGCTACTTGGGAGGCTGAGGCAGGAGAATCACTTGAACTCAGGAGGCAGAGGTTCCAGTGAGCCGAGATTGCGCCACTGCACTCCAGCCTGGGCAACAAGAGCGAAACTCTGTCTCAAAAACAAACAACAACAACAACAAAAAACATGACTTCCATGGGCAGCTTCTCTGCTTCTCTATTCCTGGGCCACAGAGAGCTGACGGTACATCCATATGTGGCCCCTGAACAATCCCTGCTGCCCGACAGCACTGACACCACGGGACCCTCACCCCATCTCCATCCATGTCTGGGTGTGAGCCCTTCCCAGGCCCATGCCCAGTGCAGCCTCTTCCCAAGTTCATGTCACTGGGTCAGAGTGAGACGGAATCTCAGCAGAGATGAGAGGGACTGAGGAAAGGCATGGGCGAATGTGAGCAAACACGTCAGGCAGGACACTTCAGAGTCGGAGAAGATTTGCAGCTCCAATGCATTGTCTCCTGCCTTTCTGAAAGGAAGAAGACAGAATGATCCACACAGAATCTTTCTTTACCTGAGTAAAAGCCATTCGGGACTCCTTTGCTCTCTTCTTCCGGGTTTCTTCCTCATGTGCCAAGAGTCTTTAGAGGTCAATGCTGAATAACAACAACAACAACAAAAAGTGCTCTTTATTGCTCAAAAACAACACACCCCCTCTTGTGTGACAGGCACACACACACACACAGGGAGGAGCTCGCCCTGTGCAAAGATGGTCCTCTGCTGCCCACTGCACCAGGGTGGCCCCAGGGACAAGAAACTCCTACAGGAAAACTCATACATGAGTCTTCTGACCCCTTTCTTCAGAACCCTCTCCCCTCCTGGAGAAGCTCGCACACACGCTGCAGCAGTGGGGAGCAGACCCAGCCCTGATCAACCGCCATGCAGAGCCCAGCCCCCTTTCCCTCTCTGTGGCTCCCAGGCTGAGCTCAGCCCTCAGAAATAGAGGACGCAGAGCCTTGGTGCTCAGGGCTGGATATAGATGAGAATCATGCTGGGCACTGTATCATCAAGGGCGAGTCCCAACCTATGTGAATGGGAATCTCTGGGACACGGGTGCGGGCACAAGAAGTGTATCTGCAAAGTACCTCAGCACTTCCACATAAAGCCAGGGGTGAGCTCTACTCAAACAGGGTCAGCCCAGCATAGCGCCCACCTTCTGACTCTGTTCTCCCCTTGGGACCTTGGGTTCATCAGGATCCAGACAGTGGAAGCAGAAAGAACCAAGAGAAGCATGCAGAGCAGGTGATATGGACCAGAGGAGGGAGTGAGGGTGCGGCTGGAGTGTTAAATGGGAGGTGGGTCACAGAAGTCCCCACTGAGAGGGTGATATCAGAACAGAAACCTGGGGAAGGAGGGGTGTTTGCACCTGCAGCTGAGGGGTCAGCGAGTTCCAGCAGAGGGACAGCCCACGTGAAGGCCCTGAGGCAGGAGCAACCTCTGCCCAGGAACAGGAAAGATACCTGCATGGCTGGAGTAGAGGAAGCGAGGAGGATACAGGTAGGAGATGAGGTCAGAGAGGTCCTGGGAGGGCAGATAAGACAGGGCAGATGCCTTCAAACGTTTTTCTCCCATATCTCAAAAGAATTTTGGAAATTATATATTTCCTCACCCATTTTAATTAAACATACAATATTTTCTCTATAAATTAACACAGTTACAATGTAATATATATTTGAAGTCCCAGGAAATACATGGTCGCCCTCATCTGAGATGTGCAGGACTGCAGGGGAAGGCATCTAGGGAGTCAGGAAGTCACTTTTGGACACCTGAAAGTGGAGATACCTGTTAGATGTCCTAGCAGAAAGTTGAGGAGAAGGCCAGGCGCGGTGGCTCACGCCTGTAATCCCAGCACTTTGGGAGGCCGAGGCAGGTGGATCACCTGAGGTCAGGAGTTCGAGACCAGCCTG